TGCCCAGTCTCGGGTATGTCTATATCAGCAGTAAGAAAATGGACTAATACAAATGGGATTAAGGAAAATTGAGTATAGGAAAGATAAACTGTCCTAGGAGTGAGGTTCACGTACCAGGTAAATGTATTCCAGAAAAAGTCTGCACATTTGCTAGAGGTAGGTCAGAGGTTTGGCTCTTAATGCTTGTAGCAGCCAACAAACCCCGGATGGCCCAATCAGTTACATAATTCAGCGTCCTTAAGATAAAAAGGTAATAGACTACTATTTCTCCCTTGGTCCTCATTAAGATGATACTATATAATATAGCAAATGATTTCCTCAACAACATTCTTGCAGTTGATTTCTCAGAGCTGTGGGAGACTATTCCTCAAAACAGCCCTCACAGGCAAATGACAGCACACAATTCAATAAAAGCAAATGATGGAGAGGAAGGTAGGAGGGCCAAGCAAGGGGTTCAGGTACACAGTTCCTTGCAGATCTAGATACATCAAAACCAGGTTTTATTCTATCTCGACTAGCCTGAAATCCAGAGGCTTTATGCATCCACTTGTCTCTGAAACTACAAAGAAAATTTGATATGCATGTCCCTTTTTCTGGGGAATATGTCTGTAGTTTCATAACATTCTCAAAGAGCAGCATGACTCAAGAAAAGTTAAGAACCACTGATTTAAAGAATCAGACTATATATATATTCTTCACGCAGCCCTCCATAAGCAGTTTATTTTCTGACCATCTAAGAAGTACTGAGCCTCAAGACTGCAGCCTCTGACAAGTGCCTGAAGTATGACTTCTCTCTCATGCAAAATGTGGAACTCTAGGCTTTAACCACTCACCAAGCTGTGTGCCACCTGTCAAAATACCTAAGACCTTTAATAAAGTAATGCCCATGAGCATATGGAGCACAAAACAAATCTATTCTTCTAGCTAGTCTTCAGCCATGAACATTGATAGATGTGCCAAAGGATTTGGTGGTATTTCTTCTAGATAGCATAAAAAGAAAAAAACATAGAAACAAACAAACAACAACAACAAAAACACCTTTTGCCTATCAATAAAAATTACAAGCATAAAAACAATGATTTTCCTAGATAAAAATTATTTTTAGCTTAAAAATAATCTTTCTACAGCAGTTTATATAATGAGCTCTTTTTTACCTTTTTGTTGTTTTAATCTTGTTATACAAGAAAACAATCACTGCCATAGCTTTAGACACATACACATACAGTGACCCATCCACACACAGTATCATGGTTAGAATCAAGGGAGAAAGCTGGCCTGTAGGACCACTGAGATAAGGGTCTTTAAATTTCAAGCATCTAGAAGAAGCCGCAGCCCTATAGAGTCTGGTCCTCAGCATAACAAGTTCAGAGACCTAGCTTTGCCAAAGAATTCACAGTTAAATATGATGAAGAGAACAAACTCATGGTAACCCAAATCATAAGACACTAATACCAATGTATTAATCACTGAGAATATTCCTTTGGACTAGTAAAATTTACACCTGAAGCCATGGCACAGTTTTCTCAAATATCTGGATAACTGAAATCCTGAGTTAGTAATCATAAGTCCACTGAAAGTTGGAACATTGAGATAGAGAGAGTTTGAGGGGTACCTGACAAATTATCCCTGCCCTACATATATCTTTATAGTGATCAAAGTTGTGGCTTGCACAGGAAGAGTCTCTCTTCCTTGAATATTGCTGCCCAGCACTGCAGACTTTTTGGTCTTCTTGGCCTTTCTTCTTCCACATCCTTCTCTCCATTAGGTGCTTCTTTAAACAGGGTATAATACAACTGATGAGGGTGCACCTTACATACATTATTATCCCTATTTTTAGATAAGGATAATGTCTCAGCAACTTGCCCAGTGTTGCAGCTAGCATAAGGCAGAACAGATATTCAAAGCCAGATCTAAAGTCAAAGCTTATGTTTCTAATCTTGAAGTAAACAATACCTTCAAGGTGTTTTTTCCGGGGCCTTCCTACCTCCCAGTTTGATTTAAATGTCCCTCCTCTGTGTTCCCATAACACTGTAAGCACACCATGCCTATAATTTTTGACATAGAGTTCTATCTCTCTCACTAGACTGAAACTTTTTGAGGATAGGGGTTATATTTCATTCACCCTTGTATCCCCAGGGCACCGCCTATCTAGGTAAATATTCAAGTTGATTTGTACAGTGGTTTCATATAGAGATCAACAAACTGAAGGCCTCCAGCTAACCACATAGCCTTAGGAAGGTCACAACTTCTCCAGCTATCAGCATCTCAGCTTAAAAGAAAAAAAAAGGGGGGGAGGATAAAATTGATATACACAGATGTAATGGATATACAAGGATATACAAGGTCTCCTCTGCATCTAAAGAACACTACAATTGTAGATGGGCCTTAGTTCTTGATGGCTTATCTTATTAGTGGGAATTATTAGAAATAAAAATAAACTCCTCATTTATCTTCTGTACCATTCTAGAGATAGAATATATATAAATAATGGAAACTTCAGAAAAGGCTTCCTCTTTGGTGACAAGAGCTAACCATCATTTATACTAAAATCAAACATTGGCACCCTCCTCTGGTGAATGTTAAAGGAGCTAAACGCAAAAGAATTAGATGGTAGGATTTTGAATTATATATAAAGAAAAAGAGATAAATTACCTAATATGATTTGTCACCATTATACTCCCAATAGCAACTAAGTAACTCCTTTCATATCACTTTCCTTATTTTGCCCTAAAACAAAGCCAAAATGAACTAACTGGCTACACACAGTAAGAGATTATAGACAGAACAATTACTCTATTTTTAAGAGTACTGATAATCATCAATTATTTCACAAACAGCATGCTTTTTAATGTAAGGCACAATGAAAAGCATTTTACGGATTGGCTAACAATGATCATCTTTTCATTTGTTGTTAAAAAATGTAATAACAAGCCATGTACATGTAAAATACTTTTAGTAAAATAAAAGTATTTAGTGTGTCCATTTTTTGGATGGTACATTTACCACAAGATAGTACTGAAAATTTTTCAACCTGAAACCTGTTTTGGTCTGCAACGTTCAGGTTTTACAGTATCAACTTACAAAACAAAAAAATTTAAATCACGAAATCACTTACACTTTTTTAGCCTAAGGCTAAAACTATGCCAATGCATCACACCCAGACAACTACAATCCATTCACCACATTACTACTACAACCAAACCTTTAATAAAATTAAAACTGTGCTTTCTAAGACCAGAAGCAGATTATCATCAGCCAACAATTTTAATATAAATATATATAATAAATAAATATAAGCTTATTAAATGTTTTACAAAGGAAGAAATCACAACTTCCTTCACCTTCATTGAATTTAGGCACAAAAAACGAAAATACAGATAGTTTGTCTCAAGCCAAGAAGACAAATCAACATTATACTGGCAACTGTGTCATTAAGGTATGTTTTTGCCCAAGTATGCAGCCTCTTTTCCCTCAATTAACTTAACATTTTTCACTTATCCTGTGACCAAGGGGAGGGAATCCTAACACTACCGAAGATGTTACAAATTTATAACCACTGAGAAACTTGCATTCTGAAAACCAGAATATAAAAAAGCTAGGGTGGGTGGAAAATGGCAAAAACTGATTTCAGTTCTACCAAATGAGTTTTCCTACTACGTTTGTCATTCTTGGCAAAGTTGGTTCTACAAGGCAGGTAGGCACAGTAGAATGAAATGATTAGCAGAGAAGTGGGTGAGGAATGCAGATAAGATATCCAGTTGAAAGCTTTCGATGTTTACCCAAAACAAAGGCCAAGGAACAAGCAAATGCTTGAAAAGGAATGGCAGTCCCGTGCAGTTCCCTACAGCCTACCCAGAGACCAGAGGGTAGAGAAGAAAGTTGGGGTGGGGGGGATGACATGTATAGGAGTGCAGGGGAGGGGTGTAATCAAAAACATAAAGAGGTTAAGAATAAGAAAAGTATGCTGTCAAAACGGAAAACAAAAGAGTATGCAGCAATGAACCCGTTACAAACTGCCAAACTGAGATGGAGCGACTGGCCCGGTGTTCTTTGGAGCATGACGCTGGAGCCATATTTGCCTCTCACTTCACCTGGGCCAATGCGCAAGGACCAGAGCCAACCCTTGCCTGACCTCCAAGAAACCTGGGCCCCAGTGCACAACCTGGGTGCCGCAGAAATGTGGGAGAGGGAACTGAACCGGCCTCTAGCTATCTCCTGCTTCCAGATGAACCACAAACAAAGGAATCTAGAAGCAGGGCAACGTCTTCACCCCCAAGCTGCCAGAGCGTAAGGGTGAGGGCAAGGCACCGCCTCCTTTGCGGGCATAGCCACCTCTGCAAAGGCCAGGGGCATCTAGGTCCCGCTCTGAGATCTTGGTAAAAACAAGAGGACAGTGAGGCGCTCCTGTCAATTGGCCCGATTGCACTTGTAAAGTTGATAGAGTTGGAAAGAAGCGCAGAGCTGCCCCTCGGATTCCTCCCTAGAGTGAAGAGAACGGGAAGGAATCACAGTTTCCTTCACCCTCACTGAGCCCCACTTTGCTCTGCAGATATAGTCTGTTTTTCTAACGAAGCATAAAAGATATTGTCTTCCTTCTCTGTGCCTAGTTCAGCTCAAACCCTAGAACAAGGGCAGTGGGGTCTGGGACCAAAGTTCACTGGACATACCATTAATTCTCCTTGCTAAACTAGCACAGTGTTTGCTAGGTTCCAGCCTTGGGAACCTCATGTTAAGTAGCAACAAATATACGGTGGATGTCTCTTCCTCCCCTAAAGTGGACTCTGAGTCCCAAGAAGTCTGGATTCAGCAGTGCTTTTGGCAACTTGAGACGCATTTGTCCAGCCAGGCACCGTGGTGTCATCACCACGCCCCTCGAACCCAGATCCTATCCCGCTGCGCACACGCCGTCCTGTTGTTTACACACACACACACACACACACACACACACACACACACTAGACATACACGGACACAAATACAAAGCCCCGGGGAGCTCCTACCTCTCCCCCGTGCCCGTCGAATATCCCGAAGATGGACGGGTGCGTCTTGTTGGCCAGATCCGTGAGAACTTCGAAGCGGTCCTCCATGTGGTCTCTCCGGCCCTGGATGGAGTACACCGCCACGTTGTGGCTCTTGAACTCCCAGGTCTTGGAAAACTCGGCCTCCAGCACATCAAGCCCCCCGAGTCGATCGTTTTGCATGATCTCGGCTACCTTGCCCTTCACCATCTTCACGGCGTCCCGGCTAGATTTCACGATGGTCTTCACCTCGTCAGTGTGGAAGAAGTAACTCCACAGCGCCAAACTGATGCACAGCAGGAAAAGCGTCTCGGGTCTCAGCAAGAAATAGCGCATGATGCGACCCAGCAGAGACAGCAAAGTCATTGTATCCTCTATCATTTATTATCGCTAGAGCCTCAACCACCAGCAGCGACGCGCGCCTTGAAGGCTCGCCGGGTCCGGGAGTACCGCGGGGACAGCCCGCCAGGAGGGAGGCGGAGCAGTGCCCGAGGGTGGGGGAGGAGGCTCTCGTAGCCCGGTCGGAGGCAGCAGAGCCGGCGGCTCTGAGCCGGCAGCGCGAGCAGAAGCAGCTTCCCTTTTGTCTCCCTGCCTCAGCGGCCCGGAGGCCCGTCCCCGCCGCCCGCGCCTCTTCCCCTCCCTGAGCCTCTTTGTGAGGCCGCGGCAACGCCGCAGCAGCAGCCGCGGGTGCCCCGGTTGGGCAAGAGGAATCAAGTTGAAGTTGCGCCGGGCGAGTCTGCCGCGTTGAGCGGGAGAGTTCAGGGGAGACTGCGCCCGCGCGGCCCCTCCGGGAGTGTCCCCTCAAGACTCCGGGGAACGAGCAGCAGGTGAGGCGCAGGGCTCCAGAGCCCGGGAGACGAGGGATGCACGTCCCCTCGGTCGCCGCCGCTGGGGAGCGCGGAGATGGCCGAACGCTCCAATTCCTTCACACACCCCCTGGGGCCCCAGATAACAAAAGTTTTGCGGGAGCCTGGGCAGAAGCAGGGGTACGCGGAGCCAGGCGACGCGGCACGATAGGCGCTGAGCCGCAGGCGGCCGGCTGGGGTCTGCCAGCCTCTCCCAGGCACCTTCCGGCTCGACTCGGCTCGGCTCGGCTCGGCTTCACTAGCGCGCTCCCTCCTCGCTTCCCGGCTCGCGCGCGCTCCGCCCCGCGCGCGCTCGCCCCTCCCCGTCCCGCCTCTTGAGTCGGGACTCGACACCCTGAGGTGTTCCCACCGAGCTGTCAAAGGCTGAGCAAGTTCTGCGGCTGTCAGTTCGCGCTCGCAGCCCCGGGCTGTCCAGGCCAGCCTAGGGGGAGAAAAGAGGGAGGTCCGCTGCCTAGCTCTTGCCGATGGTCGTCCCTTTCCCCCTGTGCCGGCTCCTAAACCAAGCTAATACTGACCCAGGTAGTGTTGGCGTTGGTTTTCCAGGAGCCTCTGGTGCTCACTGGGAAGCCGAGAGCCGCACGTGCGCGTTCCCCCTTTCGGCGGCTGCACGGTAGTGCGGTCCCCGCTTCTCAGGCCTAAGGCAAGCGAGAAGGGACGCACTTCTCCCGGCTCGCAAAGCGATGCAGGGAGGCTATCCGGCCGCGGGGCGCAGTCTCGGCGTTCGGCCACAGAGGCCTGCCCGGATCTCTTGAAAGGCTGGGAGCGAGCCTGGGGTCTAGCAGCCTTGTCCCTCCCTAGAGCAGCAGAATGGGTGGACTCAACAGAATGACTTCTGTGTCCCCAAGGAAGTGCACTCTGACGATAACCCGGAGGGACAAAGAGGGCCGCTCTTTGAGAGCTGCCGCAGCCCCTGGAGCAGGGGACTCAGCGGCCACGAAGGCCTTCCCTGCTCGCGACCTTTCCACGGGGAGGCACCAAACTTCCAGTGGGGACTCCGGGGCGCTCCTGACTCTTCTGCGGGGCGAGGGCTCTGACTCTGCAGTTGAGGTTTGAAGGCCCTTTGGAAGCTCGGAAGTGGCGGCCTCCTACCAAACCTCCTTGGTCTTCGCAGGAAGAAGGCGCAGTGGGGGCGGGAATCGGGATGAGCTGAGAGGAGCCGCCGCGAAGAGTGCGGGCTTGCAGGAGCCGGCGGGGATAACTCGAACTGTGGGCAGGCAGGTGCCGGTGGGCCTTGAAGGTGAGAAAGCACGAGAAAAGAACAATGTCCGCTTCAACTTAGAATACGGAAACAATGAGCTTAAAAGGAAAATACTCATTCTTATTACCCCTGTCCAGGAAGAAGAGTGCTGATCTGCCTCTTCCAGTCCTCTGGGCTGCAGAGCAGAGAGGCTGCCTGATCCCAGCCAATCCAGTGTCTGTCCCGCAACAAACACTTCTGCCTTGGTATGGTCCCCATTCCTTTCCTCAAAATAATGAATAAATAACAAGAAGTCCTGGAAGGAAATACACTAAAATATTCCCAGTGGTTAATCATTCATACAGTAGTACATTATATGCAGCTTTCATTTTCTGCTTTAGACTTTTGTCTATTTTCCACGACTTTTCTAAAGTTTCTACAAAAGCCATAGATTTCCACTACAAGCAGAGGAAACTTTCCCTTCAGTTTTTCTCTGTTCCCCAAATGGTTCCCATAGAAAACATTTGGTTTATGTTGGGGGCACGGTTAGAAACACTAAATTTGGGAACCTGAGTAGTTTCAATATGTGAAAGTATTCACAAAACGTCTCTGTTTTTTTTTTTTTTTTTTTTTTTTTTTTTTTTTTAACCTCTTAAAGATGCTTGATGGGACTACCAGAAAATCTTTAGTCACACAGGATTTAACTTGAGAGTTGATTTCTAGATATGATACTTGAGGTAAAGGTTTTTGTGCGCCAAAATAAAATTGTTGATCTAAGGTTACAAAGAGGTAAAGGTAAGACATATGTCCCATTTCCATGGCACTTTCAAAAGAGTTCCTCTTTCCTAGCTCTTATGGTGCTTTAGTAACCTCCAACATTCATTCATTGCTACCTGAGCCCAAGTTGCCTATGATAGCTTCTTACACTGTAGCCATAACCCAAATTCACCATGGCATTGCTTGCAAAGTCACTGTTCAGTCTATTGTCTCCAGCCATACCTGTGCTGATGAGGAACTCCTTAAAAGCCTTCTCGCCTCTCTCCATCTACTAGAAGCACACATCACTCCCTCCCAAACTGTTATACTTCAACAAATAGTTCCCACATTATATCATAATTGTGAAGGATTTTAATCACCACAAACTCCTCATGCCTATCCTACATATGGAGAAGACTCTTTAGAGCATGTGTGGTCTTGGAGCTCTCAGAGGTTGTCCAGATGTCTTAAATCCTGCTCCCGACACTAAATATACTGTAATTGCTAAGGCTTTGACAGGTGCTAGTCAAGGTCAAGTATAACACTTACTGCTCTGAATTCTAATTACAAGTACCTTTCTATTTCCCAGTCTTTTTCTTCATGAACTATTATTCCCATTTTGACATTCCCATTTGACATACCTTATTTTTCTTCTTATTATACAACTCTTCTAATACATACCAATGGTGTGCAAGTAAATGTTTAACCACTTGCCCTCTAGGAAGAGAAGGTAAAGATTTAGCTCTGTTGTGTTTGCCAATTTCCATGGTATAAATCCTCTCACCATGCTGATTTCGAACTATACCACTGAGCATGAAGCTGGAAATAGTTGCTCAGTAGCCCAGTATTATACAGCATTTCCATCAAATGGACATGATAGATGTAAATAACATCAAGAACATAAGCAATATCAAAATGTAGTAAAATAGTGAGGAATATTTATTACCTTTGTTTTTAATATAGTTTACTTAATTATAAATTTACATAATTTAATTTTAATAGTGCCCATTTTTAACAACAGACTGCTAACACTTTTCTGCTGGAGGAATGTGTGTTCTAGATATTGTCTATTGAATCTCAACATCCATTTCTAACCCCATCAAATTCCCTCCCTTCCAATCACAAAAATGGAAGAACAAAAACTACATTATCCAGAATCCCTTCCAGCTGGAATTTTTACTGTAATTTAGGTTCTGCTGATGAGATGACCTTGTGTGAGATTTGGAATGCAGAAAAGGGACAGAAACCATTTTTTCCTACAGCTCTGCTAGCTGCTGGCCAAGCTCTGGTGAACTGAGTGTTTGAGTGGCCAAATCAGGTTCTCTTTCCTTTTATGTATTTATTTATTTATTATTTTTTGATATGGTGTCTCATTCTGTCACCCAGGCTGGAGTGCAGTGACCTTATTACTGCAGCCTCAACCTCCCCAGGGACAGGTGATCCTCCTACCTCATTATAGGTGTGCACCACACCAGGCTAATTTTTTTTTTTTTTTTTTTTTGTAGTGACAAGGTTTCACCATGTCATCCAGGCTCATCTAGAACTCTGGGATCAAGCACTTCACCCGCCTTGGTCTCCCAACATGCTGGGATTACAAGCATGAGCCACGGCACCCCGCCAGGTTCTACTTTCTAGCCTCTAGTTTTGTGAAAATTGATCTACTGCCTAATGACAGCCCTGACTTCAACTCCTTGGAGCCTTACAATGCTTTTGTGAGTACCTAATTTCCTATATTGAATAACTTTCTTCTTCAATAACCTAATGTGTTTTTGTTTTCTGCACCAAACCCTCATACAACATGTGTTGTTGGCATCTGCTTGTTTCTTTCTTGCACCATCCAAAAGAAACATCAGAATCATCACCAGCACAGGTCTAGTTAGTCTGTTTGCCTATGTAGTTTCTCATTCTAAATGTTGTCTGATGGTACTTTCAGTTCACTCACATTCTGAGATTATGCTGTGGCATTAATCAATTACTACTCTTTATAATTTTTTTCATTAAATCTACAAAGAGTCAAGAAAATGAATGCTCAGTTTTGTGAGGGGAGAAGGAAAGTATTTATTGTTATTACTATTTTTTATAACATCAGAGACCTGATAGTGAAGAATGACTAGTCTTTTTTTTTTTTTTTTTTTTTGGGTTGGTTTTTACGTTATACAACCTCTTTGGTCTACTGGAAGGCAGCCATATTTCAGGGAAAGACAAACAAAATTGCTTTTTTCTTTTAAGAACAGCTGGAGAAAGAAATTGTGGACTTTCCTTTATGAGCCCAATACATACAATATTTAACACCTTTTTTCTACAAGACAATATTCCCTGCAACTAATCAACATCTCTCTTTCCACTTTGGTTTTGTTTTGTTTTCAGTTTGTCTGGGGTGCAGGGAGAGGGGGAGGGAAGAGATTCTAGGTAACAGAAAATCATACTATTCTGAGATAGAATATAGTTTTCACTCGTTTTCTGTTCACACTGCTGTTATCCTTATGGATTTTAACCTTTTATTCAGGTCTCCCTTCCAGTCATATGTTTTATTTTGTTTTTGTAGCAAACCCTTAGCTTGCTAGAAAAACATCTCCTTGCCAAATTTCTCTTAACCACAGAGCAGTTTTTGCTACTGAAGGAAATCTTCTGTTTCAAATAAAACAAAATAAACATGTAATTATCTTGAAGGCAAAAGTCTTTATATAATTTTTTCAGCTATTCCTTTGGTCTTCTCATCTCATTTCCTCTGCTCTCTCTATGCCTGATAATGCGTTTGTTTATACTGAGTTACTATCATCTATACAGTCTGATGATAGACACTGTGATGGCTCATCCTGCTTTACTGTCTCTCACAACGTCTATTTAGAGAATAGCAAAATCTCTGAAGCAATGCAATATGTAAAGAAGGCTATGGATGGGCAATAGAATGTTCTTTGCTTACCTTACAGATTAATTTACTGATTTGTTTTATTTGAATTGATGGAATCAAAGCTAAGCAAATAATTTAGAATCAAAGGTAATTAACTAAACTATCTGTAATAACCAAAAAAAAAAAAAAAATGAATGGCCTAATTTTGAATTAGCTCACCTCAAGGAGAAAAACATTCGGGGGGCGGAGAATGTGACATTATAGAAATAAGAGAAAATCAGAATTTTTTGAGAAAACTTAGCTCAACTATGAGAACAAAAATGATTTTAATTTTAAAGTAAAAGTGAAAAGGACATACAAAAAGAAGGAAAAAGAAAGCATGCCTTAGTAAATTTTGAATTTTCTCCACATTTCGCTGAAATTCCTTTTCTCTCATTCTGTCACCCTGGAACTTTCCATCTTTGTCCATTTTTGACATCAGTTACAATC